GAGAAAGCACGGTCAGCGACGTTCTTTGGAGGGTTTGTCAAGCTATAGTAGCGGTAGAACGACCCCGAACTATCAAGTGGCCAGCAGAAGGTGCCGAACGTGTAGCAGCTATTGCAAGCATGCAGGCTGTTCATGGGCTGCCCAATTGTGTGGGAGCAATCGACTGCACCCACATAGTTCACGATCTTCCTGCCGGGTATCCGGCCACCTGCTTCTATGACCGGGATCACAATTACAGCACAGTTGTGCAATTGGTGGGAGACGTAAGTGGTTCATACAAAGCCTTATGGTTCATTGTTAGCTTGTACAGATTGTATGACTTCATCACTGCTCATTAAGCCTGGGTAAGTTGCTTTAATAACCAGCTTGCCTTTGAGATAGCTTCTTCCAGATTCTATTCTTCTCTGAGACAAATCTGAACCTTGCTCAGTCCTAGCTTCCTAAGCATTCTGCCTTTCTGCTTCGTTGTTCCCTGAAAAGAGATTGATTGTTTTTCAGTGCTCATCGTAATTCACATGATTTCTTAGTCAACTAAGTAACGATATGGTCATTGTGATAGCATGTCTTCGTCTGTCTTTGTTGAAGTCGCTAAGTGCACGACAGATTCAGGATCAGCAATACTCTGCCCGGTTGCATTCCTTGAAACCAACTTCAATTTCGTAACGAGATTCATTTGTATCCATTTGTTGGATGCAGCAAAAACGGCGGATATTGCAAGTGAACGTGGGCTACCCCGGATCAGTTCATGACACTCGTGTCTGGTTGAACTCCGAAGTTGCTAGAGATATTCAAGGGCACCTTGGGGGCCCATTAGTCAATGTAAATGGTATTGAGGTCCCTCAGATGCTGGTAGCTGATGCCGGTTACCCTATGCTTCCGTGGCTCTTGACGCCCTTCCCAGGTCACAATTTGAACCCTGTCCAAGCGTCCTTTAATTTTAAGCACTCTAGCACTCGCATGTGCATCGAGCAATTGAACGGAGAATTGAAGGGGGTTCAACGATTTCTCCTTACGAAAATCCAGAACCCAAAGATTGACAGGTTGCCAACGTATGTACTAGCATGCTGTGTGCTACACAATCTCAGAATTGAGCGAGGGGATGTGATGGATCGTGCGCTGAGAGGTCCAGATATCCACTTTGGACTCGGTACTTTGGGAAGCAATCCAGGATTGCCCACGGGGGTCAGTAACTACGAACGTAGCGATGACATCAGAAAGGCTATTGCGGAATACTTGTTTGAGAGAGATCAATAGAGAATACATAGAAAATATATCTTTATTGATATATTCTTTATATATTGATAAAGAATGCATCTTGGTTCTGCTCGAAGTTTCATCATATGAACAGAGCGCCAAGCTTTTTGAGTGCTCTGCTCTCTATCTTCTTCAATTCTTCTTTTATCATCATGTTCTAGACACAGTGTGCAAGCCATACTTCCTCTGTGAATAATGGAAAAGTGGATTACCCATATGCGACTCTGCGCAAAGCATCAATGTCGTGCCCGATAGTATAAGCATCAAGAGACAAGACTCTGCATCTTGTGTTCGAGCAAATGATCAAGATCATTGCAGTTTGAGATGGCAGCCGAACCATGTTGTAGTGTATGCATAAGCTCATGCACTGATGATGTGGCACGTGGCATGCAGTGCGGACATCATGATCGCAAGTTTTTTCAAATCGATTGGTCCACAATAAGCGGGCAAAAATCTTTTTAGGATGGTGAATCATTACTTCCTGGCCAATATGTTCACAGCATTAGCCAAGCCTTGAAGAGCTTCTACAAGGCCTTTGCCGGTTTGTGCCGCAACTTCATTGCTCTTTTCCACCACTTTCAATTTCTCTTCTTCAAGCTTGAGCTCTCTTTCTCTCAAATCTTTCATTTCCCTGTGTCGAGCATCTCGCAGGTTCTCACAATCCATATGCATCTTGTTGGTATCCTCGTTATTCGCTCTCAGGGTTTCGCTCAAGACAACCCCGTTTCTGTCCCGCTTGTTCCCTTTCCCATTCCCTTTCCCATTTGCATCCTTCCGTGAGTATGCGGTCGTATCTCTGACTGCGCTGTCGTCATCGTTGGAGTCGGGGCTGCCTTCCGGTGTGGCCGGGCCATGTGTGGCCGGCTCAGGTGTGGCCGCGGTGTCCAGGACAACCGGCGGCTCAACGCTCGCCCTCTCTTTCATCCACAATAAGCTGCAAGAACAATCGATTGGAAATTTATTACAGTGCCAAGCTGTCAACAACCACTGTGTTGAACCAATTCGAGAAGCTCTTTGAAACGAGATATGAGCAGTCCTGGATTCAATGGATCTGATCTGCTATGGCAGGCTTTCCAGAATTCAGAATGCCTGATGACAAATTGAGATGCCGTACTTAAAAATGGGGTGATGTGAAGGCTTGATTCAGGGTTGCCTGTTAATTTTGATCGGCAATTCTGACATATCAGAGCGGCCTATTGGTTCGAAGTTGCATACAAAGAGAGAGCAACCCCGTTACAACCCCAAGCTCATCAAACACTTTCAGATCTGCGATATCCAAGTTACCAGACTCCCATCTTCTGCTTCTATGAGACTCTTTGAAAGTTGTCTGAACTAGCGCACCCCAATCTGGGTAGGAAACAATCGCTGCTGAGGTTTGACTTATAAATACAGAACAAATTAAAATAGATAAGGCCAGTCTTTGTCATGCAATTGAACATCCTCAACCAAGTGAATCCACCAGGAGCTCAAAAGCTGGCCACATCAATTTCGTAGCACGCACGTATTGAACAAATCTAGCTCAAGCTAAGACATTTCCCCCATGTTCAGGTGATGTATCAAAGTTTGCAAAACCAATCTGAAGAACAAGCAGATTAAAATGCAATTTGAGCGGACGACTGACAAGCTGAAAGCACAGACTCTGTCCTTATCAGTCTCACAAGATGGCGTTGATGGACTGCACAGGTAGATTGCCTTTGCGCTGTCCTACAAGAATTGAAACTAACAATTGCATCTTATCTATCAACAATGTGGTCAAAATACACAACAATCGAAGTCCAGTTGCTCACCTCTCAAAGAGAACCTTTGTGAATGCAGGGGGCAGATTGTGCTCCTTCTTCGTATCTGGCCCCATCTCCCAGTACGTGGGCTTCCCACTTGGAGGATGCTTGTCCCAATCATAGACTTTCTTGAAGTCACCCGTCATTCTGTCCCACTTGTCTTCAATCTGGCTGGCTGTGCGGTCAACAGGAGGGTCCAGCGAGCGCAAACGAGCACTGATCATCTCAAATTTCTCGGTTGCACTCATTGTCCTATACTTGATGCCTGTGCTCTTGTCAAGCAGCATATCCTCATGGATCTTCATCTGAGCAGCCAACATTTCACCTTCATATACTGACCAGTTCTTTCTGCTTTTCTTTGCAGCGGTCCCTGGGACGGCGGAACTTGCTGGGGTCTGATTGTGAGTCCGTGTGCTTTCGGAAGCGACTGACACATTGTCCTGATTGGTTTCCGCTTGGGCACCAGTGGTTGGCACCTGAGGTTGCCCTTGAAGTTGGACCTGAGAGAGCGCCTCTGGACTGAGCTCTAGCGATTGAGAAGAAAGTTGAGTAGCAAAGAAGGGCTTCAGCTGTGCAAGCAGGTTTGCCAAGTTAGGAATATTGGAGTTCTGGTGAAAGAGAACTCTCGTGCAGAAATCCCCGTTGGCTGCCAAGGCAGCTGCCAATCGAAGCGGATGTGCTTGGACAAAGGAAGCCGGCTCCATCTCATGGCTGATGTACTCAACAACGCGCTGACTGAACAAATGCGGGTCTCGTCCGCCAGCGGACTCCATGTCCTGGCAGCCGCTTGCACCCAGATTCTTGCTTGCCACTTTAACTTGGTGCCTTGTAGTGTGCCTGAGCAAGACGCTGGCCCAAAATGGACTACTTCAAGCAGGCACTGCCAAGCCGAGTCACCTGCCAGCCTGACTCAGGAGCAGCGAGTGTGCTGGCGTTTTGGCGGCACTTGTGCGCGGGAGGGGTAGGAACGCTGTTTCATTGCGGCCGTCCGATGTGCCACGGCAGCTTTTAGCGGAACCCGCTACAATCTGTAGAATGTATATGGCCGGTTATACAATGTAGCGGAATCGCTACAATGTAGCGGGATTTCGTGCGTGCGAAAGATTCTGTTTTAGCGGAAAGGGTGCATGCGATGGTAAATTTCTCGGTTTTCCGCTACAATGTACCGATAATGTAGCGGTAGCGGTGGCATGCGAATAGCCCCTTAGGGGGTTGTCACACGGGCGGTCATCGGTCATCGGTCACCTCGTTGCAAATTTCGCCGGTCGACCAGCGTTCACACGTGTGAGCCCTCGAAAGTGTTCAGGTGACCGACCGACCGTGTGACACTGTCACCGGTCATGTTGCCGGTCACAGAAGTGGCGAAGCCACGTAGGCAGGGCCCGAAACCCTAAGCCCTTGCGCACCGCGCGCCCCAAGCCGAGTTGGCGGGCTCAGATTAGGGTTTGAAATTGAAATTTCCCGGGCTCCTGCACAGATCAGGACAGATTCGACTCTGGCAGAAAACGGAGGAGAGCATCACTGGCAGTACTTTGTAAAGGAACTTGAATGCAGCCATGGCGCGTCCCCCAGCTCGCCATTCGGGCCCACAGCTGCTTCGTCGCCGCAGGGAGGTTGCTTTTTTGTGCGTCCTGATCAATTTCTTGCTCAAGCTTGCGGACCTTGCTGGGAGCTATTCAAATGCCGCGTCGGACGCCCAGTCAGCTGCCACAGCCTTTCTGCAAGCACAGCAAGCTGCTTTGCTGGCAATAGCTGCTGTAGGAGTCAAACCCCGACCCACACCAAAGGCATGTTGGCAGCACGTGATCGGTACCAGCTGTTTGCCAACACTTACCTGCTTGGATCCTACACTGACGCAATGTTTAAGAGCAGGGTTCGGGTGAGCAGGGATTTATTCCAGCACTTGTGCGAAAGCTTAGGCCCTTACCTCATGAAACAAACAACGAACATGAGGCAACCCATTTCCGTAGAAAGGCGCATACTTGCATCCCTTTACAGGCTAGGACACGCAGGGGGGTCTATGGAAATCTCTGACCTCTTTGGCATGGCAAGGAACTCGCTTTCTCCTATACTTCGGGAGTTTGTCGACGCTGTACTTGTCCATCTGCTTCCAGTGTACGTCCAGTGGCCAGTATCAGAAGCTCAACTTCAGCAATTGGCCGACGGGTTTTTTGCGCTTCAGGGGATTCCAAATGCTGTGGGGGCTATTT